TCCTGTGAAATAACTGTATTTAACTGTAACTTCACAGTTTATGTACATTGGATTACTGTGTGCTCCCACTGCTAAATAACTGTAGTTAAACTCCATATATTACTGTGATTTAGCAGTAAAATGACTGTATTTATCTGCATGGATTTCATAGTAAAGTTCTGATTTGGTTAGCAATCACAGTAGAAGCCTGTGAGGTGATAATAATGTAATTTATTGTGAAATATTACGGAAACATATTGTAATTTACAGTGCCTCAAAGAGAAAAACATGTACCAATTGTCATCTCAGGAGATTTTGCCAGGGAGCCACGACTCCTCCTGCCAAGCTGTTTTTGGAACTCTGTTTTTAAAAATATTAAATGGGAGTCTGTCTGGAATTTTAACAAGAGTTATTGTGTCACTAACAAAATCAGAGAAGTCACATTTGAATCTGAGTCATCCTCTAAACCAGGGGCCTCAGTGGGATCAATACTAAAAATGTACTTACAGCCAAAAATGGTGTACGCCAAAAAACATTCGACAATGTCTACTATCAGGCTTCCACCTCACCATCTGCGCTTCCAATTTCCTGTCTCCAAAATGTGTGTAAGCATGGGTCAAAGTTTCTCCCATCAAGTCTGTTGCGTACGCCTCTTTACAGGCCTCATTTTGTGCGTACGCAGTGCATATAAATGAGACCCCAGGTGCTCTCAAGATTCAGAGATGATATTGACGTTAAATGTGTGTTAAATGTAATCATGCAATTGAAACTATTTGTCACTTATTTTATAAATGCCTGTGTATGAAAATATCTTGGATAGCTCTTGAATATTTCTTTAAGTCGTTGACCGGTTCCATTATTTATCTAAAAAAAGAGACATTATATTTCAAATGATAAAAATGATATTGATTGCAAAAATTGGTTTATTTTAAGCCTCTGTATTTTATATGGAACATTTTACATTCACACATGTATGCCACACTTACAACAACCGAAAATAGAAATCAGACACTATATTGACTGATAAATAGTAAAGCAATGAGAACAAAATAAATGTATAAGGTCTGAAATATTTTCCTTTAATGTGGTTAATTGACAAGAATATAGTTTTGTTGTTCTTGTCTTTTTATGTTTTCTTGTCAAATTGTATAACAGTCTTTGTTAAAGATAATTGTATGGATGGAGCCTGAAACAATTTAAACCAATACATTTAAAAAATAAATAAGTACTGATGAGAAACAAATCTTGTTTATGATTTGACAAAGCCATGGTTAAAGCTTGCTTAGGTTTAAGCACAATAACTACTTGGTTTGAGGTTAGGGAAAGATTGTGGTTTGGGTTACGTTTTCTACTTTGTTAGAGTTTGGGGACCTAAAATCTGATGCTTTACTGACCAATCCGTCCCCCTCTACCTCCTTCCTGCGTGGACTCTGCTGCTCTATAACGTCACCTGACTTCCTGTTTTGCTCCTGTCATGATTATTACAGCAGCTAGAGGGCTTTGTCACTTGAATGTGAGCATCTTGGGAGGACAGCCTCAAATATCTTTTGTATCTTTATAACATAATGACATATGCTGCGTCATGCAACACAGTCAAGAGATCTAAGTCAGTTTGTAAATTAACCCATTTTTATTTGCAACTATTTTTACATCTGGAAAATTGTCATAGTGATTATTGCATGAAAGAATTATAAATCCAACACCACTTTTTCAGTTCACATATCTTATTCCCAATAAAACTAAACAAACTATAAACTTTCTTTTTCTGTGCTCAGTGACTTCATTCACACAGAGAGTTTAAATCCAATAATCAGAGCAGCAGTTGGTGATACCTTAGTGTCACCCAGATGACCTCACAAAGCTAGGGAAGATGGTTGTAACAGCTCTTATTCCTCCAATCAGAAACATGCTAGAGTGGTGACACTCACACTGTACATGGTCAGATAGACACCCCTCAACAATACTATACTACTTTTTCTATTCAAATAAATATTGTGAATGATATCTCATGTGTAATCATGTTGAACTTGTATGGGTGATTAAAAGACAGATTTAAGTTTACTATATAAAATTTTGGTTGGTGTCGTCCAAATAGTCTGAGTAACTGAGAGATATGTGTTGTGACTGTCCTTCGTCTCTCCTCCGACATGGAGGCTAACATGGATCGTGGTGAATCCTGACGCCAGATCGTCTTTAACAAGTGGCCATCTCCTCAACAAGGCCAGTGAAGCCGGGTCAACTGACTTTAAAGGGAGCGTTTACCTGACAGCTGATAGCAGCATCTGATGACTGATAGCCTCAGTTTAGCATGGACGGACCGCAGATACAGAGACTGTGTCAAAGGTGTTGATTCAACTGTGGTGTTTTTATCTTTATGGCTCTGTTTAGCATCTTTAACTCTTATAGCTCATTGTTTCGGTTTTACGGCACATTCTCTCTTTTTTGACTCGTGTTTTTTTTTTTAACAAACAAGCTGTGATAAACCCTCTGTTTGCAACCTGCCCAGCACCAAACAGCAACATGTGAACATGGTGGAGCATTTAGCAGCTAAAGAGACAGATATGGGAGACTCCAAATATCTCATAATGTGTCTGCTATATGTGTCAATAAGGAACTGTTTGCTGACACATATGACCCGTAGGTGATGATTGTCAGCATGGTGATTGCAGCTGGTGTCACTGCCCCCAAGTGGCTGAAACATGATTGAATGCAAATTTAAATAAAGTTTTGAATGCAGCACTTTTGACAGAGACAATGAACACTGTGGACATTATCTTGCCATTAGCAGTACTGTAATGACATCTGCACTAAGCCCTAATATTTTACTAACATATGTATATCTGCACTGCCTAATGTGTTCTGTGTGTGTCTTGGTGTTTCTCTTTGCACCACTGGTTATGTGTACTCTGTGCAATAATTACAAAGTTGAATCTTATGGAGCCTATTTTAATCTTGTGCACAGTTATTGTCTTAAGGGAACAAGTTATTATCTTGTGTGCACAATGTAATTATTATTTTGGGCACACGAGATAATTAACTTGTGCCGAATCAATACTCGTCTCATTTAAGTAAAGCATCTGTGTATTTCTCTCTCTACTGCTGGACAGACACCATCAAAAATAAATGAGAAACTGTTGATAATGTTCATTAACTTATTGACTGACTATTAATGTTTACATTTGTATTCTGAAGGACCACAAAATATAGTCACTTAGAATAACAAACAGTTAATTTTCAAGTTGTGCATCTGTCTGTAAGGGAGCTGACCGTCAGAATAAAAGGGTAAGTTGTGCATCATGATTGTTACCGCTGAAACAAATCAATTTTTTGACTCATTTCAAATTTCAGTTGTCATCTGATTACATCCATAACCATACTTTTTACTCCTGTATGACTACTTATCCTTTCCTTGAAGAGCACCTGATTTTTCAGTTACCTATACACAGTGTCTTGACCCAGTGCAGCTCTCCCCAGTGTTTTCTTCATTTTTTTTTTTGGTCTGGTAGTTCTGTCTCAATAATGAAGTCAAAGAGGTTTCTTTTAAAATTTGCATCTAACATATCTAACAAAAAGACGTTGAATAAATTTAGAATTGATATAAAATATTCTTGTACTCTCTGTGAATTAGGAGAAGAATGAGTCGTCATTTGTTTAATTACCATGTGTGGATGTTTAACAATTTAAAAGAAGAAAAACTGGGCAACGATTCAATTATAGGATAAAGACATTTTCACGTGTTTTGACAGAAATAATTCTATTTTAATTTTTAATTTAATTTTATATACTTTATTAATCCCCAAGAGGGAAATTCAATCTTTTCACTCTGTTTCACATACATAAACACACAGGCCTGAAATACACACACATGCACAAACAGGACCTATACATGCACAAAATGGAGAGATGTCAGAGTGAGGGTGCTGCCCTGGACAGGCGCCCCAAGCGGTTGGGGGGGGTTCAGTGCCTTGCTCAGGGGCACCTCGGCAGTGCCCAGGAGGTGAACTGGCACCTCTCCAGCTACCAATCCATGCTTCATATTTTGGTCCGGGCGGGGACTTGAACCGGCGACGCTCCGGTTCCCAAGCCAAATGAATGAAGGAATGAATAATGATAAAAATAATAATAAATGTTATATATAATTTTATTCATTTATTTATTTAAATTTTCACGGTCACAAGTAGAGATAGGCAAACACAAGACAATTACAACTGATTATGTGTTTGATAATGATAATAATAATAATAATAGAATTATTATTATTATTGTTGTTATTATATTTATGTTAGTATTATTATTATTATTATATAATTTTATTTATTTATTTAAATTTCCACATTCACAAGTAGAGATGGGCAAACTCCAAAATGGATTTTGAACTACTGTGTTTAAATAATTGTTTTATTAAGAATCACAACAATATGGCACACAATAAGAGATAAAAAAAAAACTAAATAAAACAAAAAAAGAACAAAACAAAAAATAAATAACTAAGCAGCCTCAAGGAAAAAGACAATAAAACTAATTATGTTTGATAATAATGATGATGATAATAATAATAAGAATTATTATTATTATTATTATTTTTGTTGTTGTTAATATTATATAATCTTACTTATTTATTTGAATTTCTACATTTACAGGAAGAGATGGACAAAATCCAAAACGGAGTTTTATTTTATTTTATTTATTTTATAGTACAACAATATGGCAGCAAAATAAAATATAAAAAAGAAGAATAAGAGACAATTAAAACTAATCATGTGTATATTATATTGCTTTTTTTAATGAAATATTTTCTTGTATTTTTTCCCCCTGTATATAGGTACCCCTTGTATGTACATAATATTAATGTACCCTTTAAGAATTTAAAACAAACAAACAAACAAACAAACAAACTGAATCCGTTTTTTCCGGCCTTTTGAAACCTCTCACCGGAAGTAGCCCCCTTTATTCTGGCACCGGATCAAGACTTTTATTTTGACAGTCACGGTGGGAAAGTTCAGTGTGTGTTTCCTCGCCTGTAGCTCGACAGTGGTGCTGCTGCTGAGTCTCAGCACGGCACAGCGCGTGTGTGTGAGTGTGTGTGTGTAAGAGTGTGTGTGAGCGGATGGTGGTGGACTGTTCCCGGTGAAAAACCACCGACCCCCGGCCCGCAGTAAAATGCCTCAACGCCGCGTGTAAACGGGCCAAACTGTCGGAGGGGAGCGAGTCAGGTCTCCGGGCAGCTTCAGAGGAAAATACCGGCAGGATGTTGCAAGTTTTAGCTTGTGGCGCCGTAGTTTTCCCCGGTCTCTTCTTCGCCTTCAGGAGGATCCTGCCGTGTGTGTTCAAACACTGGAGCGATGCCGACGTGGTGCTGGTCAGCGAGAGGTAAACCAGCTACATTCATCTCTTTATTTACACCACACCTAGCTAAAACACCTCATAATACTAAGCTAATGTTTAGCATTTGACCTTGTTTGGTGGCTTTTGGCTGGTAGCGGTTCCCCCCGTCAGTTAGCCTGCTTCTTAACGTCTTATCTTATCTTTTATGTCACGTAACAGCGACTGCTGTCATCTAAATTGAATCACCAGCTTCTGTACTTTGTGTATTAACATTCTACGGGTGTAATGTTTGATTTAGCATCGGTGCTTCTGAGCTAAATGGGCACAGTAATCCCCCAAAAATCTTTAGAAGGATGATTTGCAGCTATCACAGCAAAACGATGGGTCCCTGTAGGAATATATAAATGCTACAGTCAGATATAAAAGACTGATGGACACCAAAAGCTTAAATGCAAACTGAGCCTTTTCATAAGAGTTTAATCTGTGTGTTGTGCATGTAAAATAGACCATATATGTGTGTGTGTATTTAAAAGTTCTACCAACATTCATGTTTTCATGGTGGTTTCACATGCAGTAAGTAGTGTGGGACAAAATTAAATTGCACCCACCAGGCCTTGTAACTAGTCCACATTGGAAGGGACCAGGGGTGGGCGATATGGCCCTAAAATATTACCACGATATTTCAGGGTATAGTTGTGATAACAATATTCTTGATGATACGACAAATTAAGAATAAATAAGAATTATCAATAATTCAAGAAAGTAGAATTGCAACAAAATAAGTGATATAGTTTTACAGTTTGCCTTCAAATATTCAGTTAAAAGCTAACAAATATTATCTCTCACTTTTTTAGTTTGTGAACAACAACAGTAACTTACAATATTGAGTTTAACGTCGACTCCAGCATCTACTAGATCCGAATTCTGACATAATGCTACTTAACCCATTATTGACGGACAAAATTTCATATCTCCATATTTATGCCAGATATCTCGATACCGATACAATACGATATGACTATGGGTTCAGTGAAAACTTAGCATTCTTTATAAAAAAACAAAACAAAAAAGTAGTCCGAACCATTTTCTGGAAGCCCTCTTTAGTGACTGAATACACGGTAATCATGCGTTTAGCTATATGCTACGTTATAGCGTTTGTAATGTCTTTGTGACTGATGGAGGTCAATTCGTATGGCATTATGCTACTGAATGCATCAGCGATCCAACCTTACTTGGGCTTGACACAGATGTCCCCGCCATGTCTCTTATTGCAAGGCACTCTTCATACAGTACTCGGTGGTGTTGTTTTAGGTGATGATGCATGTTTGTCACAACCCCTCGCTCTGTATATCCTCCTTTCTAAAACCGAAATACCTCCAAATAATGGAGGTTGACTTATTTTTCGCCACCAAACCTGCACCGACCTCATCTTCCACGTCCATCTTAAATTTCCCACTGTGTAGTGTGTACTAGCAAGTTGCTAGCAGCAGCACATCTCCCTCGCTCAAGGGGATGTTTGTGATTGGTTGGCTTCGCTGTCGATCCAAGGCAAGCAGGAAATGAGGTTTGTGATTGGCTGGCCTTAGCTGTACATTTATGGCAAGCGTCAAAAGGATGTTTGTGATTGGCTGAGCTGTACATGCAGGTCGAGTTGGGGAAATTATATTGTCAATATCGTTGTCTTTTGGGATATTAATATCTTGCATGTTCATATCTCGATATAGATAGGATAACGATATATCGTTCAGCCCTACTATTCGGCAGTTTGCTTATATTACGTAAGACTTATGAATGAATATCCATACTGTCTTCATCTAGCCAGAGCAGTGTGATCATTACTTGTAAAGGACACGCTATATAAATAGATTTAAAAAATGAAACTAATGGACAAATTACCAATCACTAGATGTATCCTGGTGCATCAAAAGATTGAGGACTAGTCCAGTCATGAAGGGACTGTGCTTTCAAAATGGATGATAACTTATTTTACCGACCGTTTTCACAATACCAAACTCCAGCAGGTTAGTGCCTAGAGCTGGGCGATATGGCCCTAAAATACAATATTTCTGGGTATTTTTGCAACAACGATTATCATGACGATAAGACAAATAGTAAAAAATAGAATAAAAGATATTACATAGAATTGTAACAAAATAAGTGATATAGTTTTACAGTTTGCCTTCAAATATTTACTAAAAACTAAACAAAAATGATCTCTAATTTCTGTAGTTTGTGAACAACAACAGTAACTCAGAGTGAGATTCAGATTCTGTATATAATATTTCATTACATTACATTACATTACATTTCTCCTCTAACCATCACGCTGTAACCTGTGACAGGCTGTTATGATACCACAACTATCACACATTCATATATATGTAGTTTTTTGTCAAGCTGCAAGCGTCACATAGGTTTACATTACCAAAGGTTTATGACAAAATCACTTGACGCCACACCGACTCCCATGTGCGCACGGCGAGAGAGGGGAGGGAGAGATGCTGTGCTGCTGCCAGAGGAGCCGCTGAATGAGTTCCCTCTGAGCAGTAAATCACATGTAGACATGTAGTCCAGTCCGATTAAGGATGCCCAGGCCTAACGACGCCACAGTTTATTCCACACTACTGAAGCTGCTCCTCTTTTTGGATATTTTTTTTTTCTTCTTTTTAATAATTTGTAATAATTTCGCTTTCAGCCATGCTTGTTGTTGCCGTGGGTAACAGTATGACATCAGTATGTCAACAAGTTGATATATTGTATCACGATATGAATTTTTCATATGATATTAAAAATAATCGTGAACGAGATGATGTCACATCCCCAGAAGGGACAGATGTTTTTGTGTGAACAATCCCAAGCTTGATCCATGTGTTATTATACTTTCTTTTTTTATATAAATATATAATTATAACTAAATAAAAAATTAAAAAAACACAACCTTACTATCACAGTCCAAAAAAAGAAAACAAAATAAATAGATAAATAGAAAAATACACATCACCACCAGGCAAAGCAGTCACATTCAAATCACCAGGATATGTTATAGTCAGTTCCCATGTTATTGATCAAGTAGCCTCATCAGTAACTCATTTCTTGAGTACTGCAGAGTAATAATAATGAATATATCTTGTGTGTGTGGGTCAGTGTGACTTGCTCACATGTGCACAACTCAGTTCAATGCTCATTTGTACGCTGTCACTCCTGCTAATCCTCCTCTGAGCTCTGGTCAGGGTCGACTGCTGAGTTAGCTATGCACTGGAAAACACTGAACCCTACACTCCTGAAAAAACGTTTCTACTAATTTACTAATGCTCATCTGATGGAAAATGTTCCTACAAGCATCCATGCCTCAGGGGATGTGCTTGTTCACGACTTAACCAGCCTCTTAAGCATCTACTCTGCCACACAGGTCGCAGGCTTGGATCATGCTGGTGTCTTTGATTGTAGTGGGGCAGTGTCAGGAAATTCACCAGGTTTCACCCTCACCGTTTTAGTTTAGTTTTTGAAAATTCCTGTAACCAGTAAGTTACTGTGTGTTTCTTTCCTCACAAAAAGCATAAACATAATAGGGTTGCAACTGTATGAGATTTTCATGATATGATAACCATCTCAGAAGATATTGGGGTTTCACACTATTACAATTAAGGATAGACCGATACATCGGCCGGCCGATATATCGGGCCGATATTTGAGTTTTTTTACTTGTATTGGCATCGGCCGATATGCGCGTGGGTTCGCAGATTTATTTTTCCCTGGCACTTTTTTTCATTTGAAAGTATGTGGTTAAGTTGAACAAAGCTGTTGAATCCTACTGTGTACAGTAGTTGTTGTTATATTTATGCTTCAGCTTAAATATTTGTTTATTTTATAAAGACATTACTGGAAGATTTAAGAGCACTGAACTCTTTTTTTTATTTGAATGTATAATAATAATAATAATAATAATAATATTCTACCTGTTCTACCTCAACTTTCCATCTTGTTTTAGTATTTCTTACTGTTCAATAAATGTTTCTTATTTTAAACTTGAGACCTGTAATATTTGTTATCATTGTGTCATTTTTTTTATGTAAATTGAGGGAGCAAAAGCAGTATCGGCCCCAAATATCAGCTCAAGAAAATCGGCAGTCCATAATCGGTCATCGGCTAAAGGTGATGGAAGAAAATCGGTATCGGCATCGGCCCTAAAAAATCCATATCGGTCTATCCCTAATTACAATATTTATATTATTTTCAGTCCCAATGACCCTCAAAAGAATGAAAACAGAAAACTTATTGTTGGTTGAACAAATGTTTTGCAACTATAATTTATATTTGAAACCATTTTGTCGATGGAAGTATGTGTAAAAAGTCTTCCCTTAAAAAGTAACTAAAATAAAAGGAGGAATTTAACATCCAGTTGCCTTTGTTTTTTCAGTATCATAGATAAGCAAATATACACAGTATGATAACCTTTTTCTTATAGGCTATATCATGGTATACTTTGAAACCGGTATATTGCTGCAAGCCTAATGTATAGCCTATATATTTCATCTTTCCTTTACCATCCTTTGTAAATTTCATTTTAGATGTCTGATTGAATTTTATTTTGAATAGTGTTAAGGTTGCAACGTTTGTTCAACCAAAAATAACCCTTCTTATTTACTTTTTTTTATTTTATTATTTGCACACATAGTAAAAACTACATAGAATCCAGATAAATAATAGAAAAAATAAGGATGTGACAGGAGAGGTCAAGAAGCTATAAGCTTATACAACAGACCTCCGCTCAACTTAAGATAGAAAACTGTATGAACAAGAAAAAACATAACCTTCCATTTTCATTCCTTTAAGGATCATAATGAATATAAATTCTGTAATACCGTGATACTGTAAAACCGCAGTACTTCCTGAGACAGTTATCTCATACCTTTGCAACCCTAAATAGCATACATGAAGGATGTTGGAGGTAAGATCTGACGGAGTTGAAGCCTTAAGGAGCTGACAAAGAATTACATATTTATTAATTTTACAGCAGTCGTAGTGAGTGGCTATTTTATTTTTTC